AGAGGGGGCATTGCTTCCTAGTAGTGTGGTTCCCTGATACTAGGGGATGTATAGCAAGTTACCGCCTTGTCCTGCGACAGGAGCCCCCAACATGATGTCGGCTGGCACCTTTCTGGTGCCTGACAAGTGTTTTTAAAAAGTGAGAGTGAGGCCCGGTGGGGTTTTGCCCAGGAAGGGTTCTGGTTGGCTATCGGAGATTTGATTGGCTGTGCAGATTTTTAAAAACATTGCTTTGGTGGTGGCCGCAGCGCAAGGATCTTCACTGTGTGGCTGAAGGTAAGCTGCAGCAGCCGTTTGTATTTATTTTTTATTAGATTTTTTCGGCCGCCCTTCCTTGCAGACAAGTCTCAGGGCGGCTTACAACAGAAAAAGGCATAGAAGAAGTAATTAAAAATTAAAGCCAAGAATAAATACATAATACATACAGCGCCAGTGATTCATCAGCATAATATAGTCATTCCAAGATGGTGGGGAAAAAATTCAAATTTCACAGGCCTCCGGGCGGGGGGCTCGCGGAGGATGGAGGGTATGAGAGAGTGCCAGACTACATACTGTGCTGTCGCTGTCCTCGAACCGAATGCCTGGTGGAACATCCTTACGTGCCCTGAGGAAGGGTAAGAAGAAGAAGAAGAAGAGATTGGATTTATACACCGCCCTTCACTCGGAGTCTCAGAGCGGCTTACAAACTCCTTCCCCTTCCCCTCCCCACAACAGACACCCTGTGAGGTGGGTGGGGCTGAGAGAGCTCTGACAGAAACTGCTCTTTTTCAAGGACAGCTGTGCCAGAGCTTGTGACTGACCCAAGGTCATCCAGCCAGGTGCAAGTGGAGGAGTGGGGAATCAAACCTGGTTCTCCCAGATTAGAGTCCGCACACTTAACCACTACACCGAACTGGCTCTCAATATCCACAGGGCATGGATGTCCTCCAGCAAGAGGGTTCCACCAGGTAAAGGCCAAGCTCCAAAAAAGCTGGCTCCACCTCCTACTGTAGCCGTTTTGTGGCAGCTGTTCTGTGGCTGTGCCGACCACACTGTGTCAGAACTCCAGAGGTACCTGCCGGCTCGAAAAAGGTTGGGGACCTTGTTCTACCTACTCGGGGAATGAATGAAGACATTTCATAACCTCTGAGGTGTAAAGATTCTTGTGTTGGATAAGCTTGTTGGAAGGGTTGCCGAGTGCCATACTCCCATGCTTTGAGTGCCAGTAGTTACTGAGAGGCTGCGTAACCCTAAACACAGAATGTTAGACCCTGGCGTGGAAAGAAGTGTTTACATGACTGCTTGGCCACCAGTTTGGTGTAGTGGTTAAGTGTGCGGACTCTAATCTGGGAGAACCGGGTTTGATTCCCCACTTGCACCTGCTGATGTGACCTTGGGTCAGTCACAAGCTCTGGTCCAGCTGTCCTTGAAAAAGAGCAGTTTGTGCCAGAGTTCTCTCAGCCCCACCCACCTCAGGGGAAGGGAAAGGAGTTTGTAAGCCGCTCTGAGACTCCAAGTGAAGGGCGGGGTATAAATCCAATCTCCTCCTCCTCCCTAAACTCCGTCTCTCCACTTCAGCTACTCATCCGTAACCGCAGTGATGTATACGCCATGGGGTAACACTATGATAATAAACAATAGTTAAACATGCTGCAGAAATTAAAAGGGGTATTCAGTTCTGCACTTTGAGAGCCGCTGATTGATTCCTCTGCCTAATTTATTGTTATCCTGTCCTTTCAAGGAGGACAGAGAAGCATACATGGCTCTTTCCCATATCTGCGTAATAACCCCGTGAATTAGGCTGAACCGTGAGACTGACTTCCCTAAAGTCCACTAAGCAAGATGGGAATTTGAACCTGGGTCTCCCACATCCTAGTCCCGACACACGGACCACTGCACTGGCTCCCTAATGCAGCGGTTCTAACTCCAGATGGTTTGTCCAGTGGCCAATTACTAACATCCTCCAAGGAGATTCCTCTTTTTGGTTATTCAGAAAACAGGGATCTGTGTTTTTACTTTACTTCTGAACGCCTTCCAAGAAACTGTCTTCTCGCCGAAGTCACTTGGGGTTTACTTACACATATTGTAGGTTATGGAAGGATGCTGGAGAGAAGTGCTTTTTGTATAGCTCAGAAACGTGAGCCGATAACTTGGCTTAATCTGTTTAAGAGTGTAGGTGTGTGGGAACTGTGCCACGTTGCAGGGGCTGGCCAGAGGGAGCTGCCAGTTTCTATCTTTACCAAAGGCCGTGAGTTCCCAAGGTTCCTCTGTAGACTTTGCTGAACTTGTTAAATAACAGCAAGGAGTCCTGCTTTAAAGGGCCATGGGGCTGGCTTTCCGTTAGCGTGACAGTGCCTCTTTGCGTGTGTGGTTTTTCCCTTCTCCTTACGACATGGTTTGTGTCTTAGGTGCACTCTCTGACCCCGTAAGCCGAAACAGATCAGAATTTTTCTATGCCTTAAACGGCTCTTCAGTGGATTCCCAGCCGCAGACAAAATCGAAAAACACGTGGTATATCGATGAAGGTAACGAGAGGACATACGTCGTTGCGTTTGCGAGCGTAACAGCAGATTGTGGCGGCGAATGAAGGCCTTATAAAGGATAAAGGAAGTTTGATTTAATGGCCCTTGTTGTGTTGTGGAGCAGCCTAAGTAGCCTAGGCTAGCCCAGTCTCATCAGAGCTTGGAAGCTGAGCACAGCTTGCCGTAGTTAGTCCTTGGATGGGAGACCTCCGAGGAAGACCAGGGTTGCCTTAAGAACCCCATGGTGGAGGCCGCTGTACGTCGGTTGCGACTTAACAGCACACTTCGCCTCTGCTGTGTTGTGGATTGAGAATACTTCTGATGGACCCCCCTGCAGTGTAGCTTTTCTTCATCTGTTTGTAAGACACTGTTTGATCTAGTGTATTTGTCCTCTGTAATGTTCAAAGTTCAAAGATCCACCGAAGTAAGGGTCTTGGTGCTAGCCCAGGGAAATTGTTTTAACGTTTGCTTTGAACAGCTGCACTGCCCCGTACTATATTGCAGAGTGCTGAGTGGGAAAACAAAGCTCCTTAGGCTCAGGGAAGCCCCTTCCCCGGTTCTTTGGTTCCTGGCCAGTATTTAGCAAGATAGTGCAAGGCATTTTATCTGGCTCCTCTCCCACCGTTAACTTGAGCTTTTGAGTCATCACGGAGAATGTCTGAGGCAATGTTCTGTGAAAGTTCGACTTTGCCCTCCTTATTAGACGAGCTGGGATGCAAGATGCTTATAAATAGTAACTTACCCGCATAGCGGCTTGTGACCTCATGCACTGAATGTTGACTCATGATTTATTTACATATCTTCAGGTAACAGACTGGTGACTCGATCCTTTTGTGCACTCTCAGAAAACAGTCCCTGCCTTGGCTAGATGCAGTATTTTGAATTGCAGATTTATTTATTTTTTTTAACGGCTTGCCGCAGTAGTTTTCAAGTGTTCTTTCTTCAGGGAAGCTTTTGCCTGCTTAGCATCTCCTGTGTGCTGGGGAAGAGTCTAGGGGATGTGTATACTCAGCTGTACACTCAGTTCATTCAAAGCATTGGCCAAACATGTCTGGCCTTAGCTGTCCCCTTCGGGAACTGCAGCTGCAAACACCTCTGTTTCCATGAAAATGATTAGGCGGGGAACAGCGGTAGTGGTAGATAAGTTGTCTTTAAAGAAAGCGTATCTTTCACTACTCACCTTCTCATCGAAGAGCCCCTAACGAGCTTCCAAAAACTATAAAATTCCCAGGTTTTGTAGTATTTGTGCGTTAAAGTAAAGCCCGGTGTCATTCTGGTTTTCCCCATAGAACGTTCATCTCACCAGACTGCAGACAGTTGGAATTGATAGCCTTGGACATGTGCTTCGAGGAGTCTTCCTAAGCAGAATTGTGCCTGTCTAAGCCCATTAACGTCAGTGGACTTAGGAGGGTGTAACTCTCCTTAGGGTAGCACCGTTAGCCTCTCTTTCCAGGCTCATGTCCCTATTTACTGTCTTCTAGCCTGATGTTAGAAAAACATCTGTCCCTTGACAGTCCCCAGTATATTGTACAAATGGGTCCGTTTTTATAACAGTCTCATTCATCCGAGAGAGTGATTGCTTGCATTTTTTTTTGTTCTCTCGTTGCATGGAAAGCTGCACAGAGCATTGGTTCAGGCAACTTACTAAATTCTTGTTGGACTCCCCAAATGTTGCTGATTGCCTTTGTCTTAATTTCAACAGTTGCTGAAGACTCTGCAAAATCCCTTAATGACTCGTCTCCTGGGTTCGGACATTCTTCGCCACCACTTCAGCCTCCCCCAGCGAACAGTTTATCGGCCGAAAACCGATTTCATTCCCTGCCTTTCAGCCTGACAAAGATGTCCAGCAGTAACAATGCTATTGGACACAGCCCTCTCTCTTTATCTGTTCAGTCGGTTATCGGAGAGGGGAGTGCCGGGAACCTCCAGGACAGTCCTCCGTCAACAGTGCAAACAGTGGCACCTGTCAACATGCCTGTCAACATGCATGGGCTTGAAGCAGGTTCCTTGGCTGAAGTGAAAGAGAACCCTCCTTTCTATGGAGTAATCCGGTGGATTGGACAGCCTCCAGGAGTGAATGAAGTGTTAGCAGGACTAGAACTGGTAATTAACATTCATTTCAAAAGACTTCATTGTTTCGTTCATCTGTTTGTACAGCATCTTTTCAAAACAGGACACCTCCTTTGGCTACAATTCTGGATTATGGACCAGGTGTCATTAGTGGAATCTGGTATTTGGGCTGTGTGAAACAAATCGATAGCGTATCCCTGAAGCTGGTATTTGGGCTGTGTGAAACAAATCGGCAAGGTAGAAACCGGCAGGATGAATTTGCCAGGGGTGTGCAAGAGAAAAAAAAATCATTTTTTAAAAATTCGGGTATATTGGACATGAAAAATATCCGTATTTCCCGATATTCCCAAATCCCAATACCGGTATGATATTCAGATCTGGTAATATTTTAGAATCCTGAATTTGTTCAGGTTCATTATGTCCTATGGGGACTGTTAAAGTCAATTGCAAATCTATCCTGGGGTATATTCAGTGGTCTGGAGGAGGGGAGGGGTTGAGGTAGAGGCACCAGATTTGCAGCAAAGCTGCTGGAGATGCTCAAAAGAACCCCCCCCCCCCCAAGTTTCAAAAAGATTGGACCCAGGGGCCCAATTTTGTGGGGCACCCAAAGAAGGTGCCCCTATCCCCCATTGTTTCCAATGGGGGGAAAATAGCAAGGCAGTACAAGCCCAGCAGAATGTCCCAGAGAATCTCTGCAGTAGAAAGTGAGTTCTGGGGGGGCATTTTTGCAAGGCCAGCCAGCAACAGAACCAGTGCATTGTGTCCAGCTGAACCAGTGCCACTGGTATTTTTTCCCCAGCTTGGATACTACTAAATGCACACCCCCTAGGATTTACCTTCCTCTAGCACAGTACCAGAGGTGGAAGATGCCATATCTCTCTCCCCGGGGCAAGCAGTAGTCTCGTATCTGCATCTCTTTTTCTTGCTGTGTGTTCTTTCTCTTGGCAAGAGCTGTGTGGGCACATCCCAGCCATGTCTTCTGACTTTAAAGGGGTAGAACTAGCAGCTAGGCGAGTGAAGAGCGTGGAAGCGTGAATGCACCTGCCCACCCAGTCAGCCATTCCATTAAAGCAAAACTGTACGGAGGTCTCTGGCCATGTAGTGGGAACCGTTAACCCTGTTGTGTTTTGCTGAAAGATACAGTTAAGGTTTATGCATTGAACCCAAATGTGCCCAGCTTGCTACTGGGCAAGATTTGCTTGTTGAATCTAATTTTTAAAGAAGCAAGTCACTTGAGCACTCACGTTGAGTTCGTCACAGGCTGGCTATGGGAATCCACTTCTGAGCTATGTGGTGGTCAGAGTCCAATGCAGAGTGAAGTGTTCCAAAGTCATTGCTGAATTGAGGCCAGTGCTGCAAATTATATCAGTAGCCCCTTGATTATATTGAACAGCATCCCCCTCCCCCCCAAACATTGTCTTCATCAAGCCCTTTCTTCATTGTCAGTCTGCCTGCTGAGGAAATCCTGCAGACTGCAGAGGATTCTAGGAAATGCAGACATCGAGGTTACACAGTGCACTGCCCAGTTCAAATTGATTATCATCTTATCCACTATAAACAGAGGACCTGAGGCAAGATTGCTAGCTGTGAACAAACTGCTTTTCAGGGACATCTCTATGATCCCTTTGAATTTAATGGAGAAAGGTTCTAAAGAAACCTAGATCCTAAAGAAAGTTTCTAAAGAAACCTAGAGTTTTTTTTTTAAACAGGTGTTAAGACACCGTTGAATAATTCTAACCAGGCACCAGATAGCGTGTCCCTGAGGTACGATAAGGGTCATAATCACAGCAAAATGTTTATTTACTTACTTCATTTGTGTTCGAATAGCCCCATATAGCTGGGCAAATCATTTGCTTGGTAGGTAGCAAACCGGAGTTCTTACGAATAACAAACTGGTACTGATATAACACCCTGTGCAGCGAATTACATGCAAGCTCACCACCCACAAAGCAAAACAAGTCTTTGATATTTTTAAAAAGACCATGGTGGGAGGAAACCACACAATTTGTCACAGGAAAAATATGCAATAGGCAAGTGGCTAGATGCAATCATATTTACAGTACTTTATCAGGTCACCAATGAAAGGCCAACAGACTGCTTTTTAAAAAAAAACGAGATTCCTTCGGTTTTGTGCTGCTAAACACCAAGATTGGTGCCCGTTACCTAGGATTAGGGGTGTGCAAAAAAAAATCAAATAAAAATAAAAATTGGCCCATTCGGATTTGGTAGAATTGGGCAGAATCAATTTCGGCTGGCAGTAGGACTCCCGCATGTCAGTTTCGTCAGTACCAGCCCATTTGGGAGTTTTTCTGCCAGCCAAATGTCAATTTCGGCCCCATTATATCCTATGGGCCATTGAAGTAAATGGTAAAAACATAGGGGGGGGGGGCCTTCAGGGAGAGACTCCAAACTCGCAGGGTAGCTGCTGGAGCCTCTCCCCAAGATACCAACCACGTTTCAAGAGCATTGGGCCAGGGGGACCAATTCTACGGGCCCTCAAACAGGTTGCCCCATCTCATCCATTGTTCTCTACGGTAGGAAAAAATGTTACTTTTTCCCCACCATAGAGAACAATGAAGGGGATAGGGGCAACCTGTTTGCTCTGGAGCCATCCTTCCTGAGCTAAGACAAAAATATGTGAGCTGGAGGCTAAAAAACTGTGAGCTAGCTCACACTAACTCAGTTTAGAGAGAACACTGGTTATGACTAATTATGATGTTTTACTTTTGTATTGTTTTTATGTGTTTTTAACTTTTTATGTAAGCTGCCCTGAGCCTCCTCCAGTGGGGGGGGGGGTCAATTCGGTGGCAAGTCTATTCAGATCAGAGAATCTGAATCGGCCTGCAGCAGCCCGAAAAGGGTCCGAATGGGCCATTTTCGAATGCACATCCCTACTTAGGATTAGAAGTCTTGTTGACCAGATGCCTTAGAATTTCCCTTTGGGTCTGATTGTCCGTTAGGTGTAGTGGTTAGGAGCGCGGACTCTAATCTAATCTGGGAGAACTGGGTTTGATTCCCCACTCCTCCACTTGCACCTTGGGCAAGCCGTAGTTCTGTCAGAGCTGTTCTTGTAAAAGAGCAGTTTCTGTCAGAGCTCTCTCAGCCCCACCTCCCTCACAGGGTGTCTGTTGTGGGGAGGGGAAGGGAAAGGAGTTTGTAAGCTGCTCGCCCCACCCACCTCACAGGGTGTCTGTTGTGGGGAGGGGAAGGGAAAGGAGTTGGTAAGCCGCTCTGAGACTCCTCCTCCTCCTCTTCTTCTTCTTGAGATTATCTAAGAAATGTGACTTTGAGGACTGTGTTGCCGATTTTGCTAGTTCCTTGACTCCTTGGAATTGTAACAGGTGGCACTCCGCATATCCCTTATCGTAGCTGCTGTCCACGCTCTGTTCACTTTGGTCAGAAGCTCCAGACTGAGCAGAAGGCGCTTCCGTGATTGCACTCAGGCTCTGGTTTTCTGGCAGAAACTAGGTTGCTTTCGGCATTAGATCCCTATTCCTTTGTGCTTGTTTGTTTGTTTGTTTTTTATTACATTTTTATTGGTTTTAACAAATAACAAGTAACATGTAAGTCTAATACATTAATGTAGTAACAAAGTTTGTACAGAATGAAACTTTTCCAAATCCAAAAACAATACATCTATATTTCAAACAGACTTAACTGCAATGCTTAACAAATCATGCCATCTGAAGGTCTCTTGGTTCTGATATTTATGTTTCTATAGGCGAGTATAGTTCAAGTATAAAATAATCTTATATAAGAAAGTTTTACAAGATATAGTCCATAATTGATCACTGAAGTGCAAGAACATTTATAACCATTTCTGCATGTTTTGCCAGGAAGAGGGCAAGTATTCCTCTGAGGCCAAAAATTCTAGTATAGGGTTCCATTTTTCCATTATGGGTCTAAGTACTGGTTTCAGAGCTGAATTATTTATTTTGCTGGTCACAGAATCCATAAGGAATTGATCCCATAGTTTTTGGTACCACATTGTCACAGTTGGAGGTTTGGGATCTTTCCAGCACGTGGCAATTGCTGTGCGGGCTGCAAAGATCATAATATCCAAGATCTGTTTATGCTTATGTGTTTCTATGTGAAGTGGCCAATGTCTTAAGAAAAGACTTTCAGGATTTAATGGGATTGTTAGCCCTGTTACTTTAAAAATGATATTTTGTATGTCAGTCCAAAATTTAGCAATCTTTTCGCATTCCCACCATGAATGAGCAAATGTGCCTATTCCATCACATTGTTTCCAACATTTTGGAGAGATATTTGGATATATGCGGGATAGGCGTAGAGGGGTCAGGTACCACCTTGTTAGAATTTTAAAATCCTGCATCTCTAGCGGTATAGAGCTTGGATAGGGATGTTTGGTTTCCCATACTTCCCTCCAAAAGTTATCGTCAAGTTGCGTTTTGCAATCTTTTTGCCACAACTTTTGGTAGGGAATGGTTTTTGATAAATTTGTGAATTTAGTAGTTGGTAGGTCGCTGAGATCAGCCCTTTGTCAGTATGTTCAAAAGTGTGAAAAAGAAATTCTAAATCTGTGCGGGGTCTTCCCATCATTTCTTTCATATGTGTTTGTTCTATAGCATGCTGAAGTTGTAGATAAAGAAACCAAGGCACTTTACATCCTAATTTGTGTTCAATCGCAAATTTGGGTAGGATACCTTTTTTAGTTGTTAGCCTGCGCTGGATCTGCCAGCAGATCCAGCGCAGGCGCACTAGATCCCATTGGTGTGAATGCACACATGACCACTCGAAGATCACCAGTTACTGGTAAGCAACCTGTTTTTCCTTGACTCTGAACCCTTGGAATTGTAACAGGTGGCACTCCGCATATCCTTTGATCGTAGCTGCTGTCCACGCTCTGTTCACTTTGGTCAGAAGCTCCAGACTGAGCAGAAGGCGCTTCCGTGATTGCACTCAGGCTCTGGTTTTCTGGCAGAAACTAGGTTGCTTTCGAAATTAGATCCCTATTCCTTTGTGCTTTTTTGTTGTCTTCTCTTTTGCGTCTTCCAGGAAGAAGAATGTGCAGGCTGTACAGATGGTACATTTAAAGGGACTCGATATTTTACGTGCGCACCCAAGAAGGCGCTCTTCGTTAAGCTGAAGAGCTGTAGGCCGGACTCCAGATTCGCCGCATTGCAGCCTGTATCCAACCAGATCTTTTGCGTCTTCCAGGAAGAAGAATGTGCAGGCTGTACAGATGGTACATTTAAAGGGACTCGATATTTTACGTGCGCACCCAAGAAGGCGCTCTTCGTTAAGCTGAAGAGCTGTAGGCCGGACTCCAGATTCGCTGCATTGCAGCCTGTATCCAACCAGATTGAACGCTGTAACTCCTTAGGTACTCCTTGTAGCCTTTCTTTGGTTTTTTTATTCTTACATTTTATTGCTTTCAAGATATTTTGGGAAGGGATGGGATAGGGTATTTCTGTCCAGTCATAAAATGACAGCTCCCCAAAATGAAATGAGTCTGCTTCATTCTTTTGTTTCATGCGCGTCAGGTATGGTTTCGAATGTTATTTCTTACAACAGTGGTGCCAGCGGTGATAACAGCAGTTGAAATGTTTAACGAATAAGAAAGTCCTGCTCACATTAGCAGTTTGATGAAACAGTTCTTTTGTGGAATTGCTGTGAAATGTGGAACATATTCAAGATGTATTAATTATAGCTGGTGTTTTTCGTTCCTGCACTGTCTGAAAGGCATCAGCATCTCTGCTCTTAAAGCAAGTGCTAATTTACAAAGCCAGACATTGCAGTCCACAGTTCAAGAGCGGCATTTAACAGTTTAAGAGTGGCATTTGCCGCTCTTCACTTTCAATCCATGCCCACTGAAGTGCTGCTTGGAAGGTGTACCAACAAACCACAGGAACAATGTGTGTGTATATGTGGTACCGCAGTAGAAGATCTATTTCATTACATCATGGTCTGTCCTTTATACTCAGGCCTAAGAAGCAGATTCCTATCTGGAATTTTAAGCCAAGTTTGCAACTTACCTGACAATGAAAAGTTGGTTTTCCTCTTGTCGGACATATATCCCCTGGTTACTCGCAAGCCAGAAAAGTTAGATCCAATGCGGTTTCTAGTTGTCTAACATAGAGCTTCAAATTGGTAGCATAGTTTCTATGATTGTAAAACTTTGTTTTATTGTTGAAATGTTATACAGTCTTATTTTGAAGGCTTTGTTTTTAGAACAGTATTTTTGAACCTTAAATTTATATTGTGTATATTTTAAATTGTAACGGCCTACGGCCATATGCAATAGATTTACTTACTACTACTAATTTACAAAGCAGAAACTTCAGATGAAAGTTAATGCTAACGTGTAGTGCTGTGTGCTTGGCATGCGTGAGCTGCCATCTTGAATCTGGGCTTAAAATCTGCAGCGTTGCTTGCTCTTTCTAGGAGGTAACCTTTGATACATGTGTAGAGAAAAAGTTATTTTAGTACGTATCCTCCCCCCAGATGAAAATATTGTGGTTTGGAGCCAGACTAAGGCTTCCATAAGGGCAGGGATTAGGGTTGCCAGCCTCCAGGTGGGGCCTGGGGGTCTCTTAACAGCTGATTTCCAGCTGACAGAGATCAGCTAGAGATCAGCTCCCCTGGCGAAAATGGCTGCTTTGAAGGGTGGACTCTGTGGCCTTGTACCATGCTGAGGCCCCTCCCCTCCCCAAACCTCCCCTTCTCCTGGCTCCGCCCCCAAAGTCTCCAGGTATTTTCCTTTTTTAAATTATATTTTATTATTTTCCACATAATATGTTTACAACAGAAATATCATACAATTTTGGAATGGTATACAAGTTAGGCGACAACCTCCAAGAACTCCGCTATGAAGAAATAGATACTGTTTTAAATGATAGTAATTAAAGATTGTAAAACTTAGAAAATAGAGCATTATGAGAACAGCTTGATATTCATGGTAGAAGCCTAAGCGAAATAAAATAATAATTATCTGTTTATTAAATTTTGTGTTATTTGTCTAGGAGTTCGAGGAGATGATAGCAACTGTTTAACAAGCAGTCACTGGCAGTGAATAAGAAAACAATTTTATTTATATTAAGTAGACACTGGCAGTGCCATAGAGTATAATTGGAAGGGAATAGCTTGTCTCCAGGTATTTTCCAACCCAGACCTGGCAACCCCAGCAAGGATTTCTGCTCACAGAGTACAGTTTTCCTGCCTCCTGCCTCCCATGGCATCCTGAAATCTTATTCCGGGGTCTCCCATCTCTCAGGACAGCATTTCTGGGGGCATTTTGGACTGTGGGGCACGTGGGTGCGAAAGTGGCACTTCATGAGTGGAAGTCCCTGTGCCTACAGAAAGTACAGTGTGGACCCAACCCCAGTGTTCCAAGCGCTGCCAAGATTTTCTTGCTGCCAAGAAAGCCAGAGGACTAAGACCCCTGGTACGGGAGACATTCTGCCCCCTCTGCAGCCTCTAAAGCTGGGTCGTGCTGAAGGGAGGGGCAGTGGCTCAGAGTCAGGTAACATCCTGCACCTCATTCAGGCCCCGTAGGAAGGAACCGTCTGTACAACAGAGCCACTCTTTTATTTTCCCTCTCTGCTGCAGAGTTCAGACCCATACTTAACTCTCCACATGTTGTTCTTAAGCTTTCGGTGGCTATCTAAGTGAGGTGGTTGAAGAAAACACTCCTCCAAAAATGGAAAAAGAAGGCTTGGAAACGATGATCGGGAAGAAGAAAGGAATCCAGGGTCATTACAACTCCTGCTATTTAGACTCCACTTTATTCTGGTAGGTTTCTCGGAGCTATAGTTTGAAGCGCCAAGGCTGAGAAAAATGATGCAAGTGGCTTGAACCTAAGCTCAGTAGGTGACTGCTAGCTGGCACACATGGTTGTGTGGTGTGGTGGTAGTCTGAACAAAACTTCCTGAAACTCATTGGACCTATATACGTGTTCTGAATTCTCTCATAGAAGAACCCTGCCATTGCACTCACTTTCAGTGAGGGTCAGGTTCAGTATTAGGTGTGGTTTGGGGTCAGTGAGGGGGATGCTGGTAAGGCACCTTGTTTACATGGGCGTGGTTGGGATTCACTGCAGCAGGAAGTGGTGGCAGCTACAAGCAGAGACATCTTCAAGAGGAGATTGGATAAGCGTATGGAGCAGAGGTCCATCAGTGGCTATTAGCCACAAGGTATAGATGGAACATTCTGTCTGAGGCAGCGATGCTCTGCATTCTTGGTGCGTGGAGGGCCACAGTGGGAGGGCTTCCGGAATTTCGGCCCCACTGGTGGACCTCCTGATGGCACCTGGGTTTGGGCCACTGTGACACAGGGTGTTGGTGGACTGGATGGGCCATTGGCTTGATCCAGCATGGGTTCCCTTGTGTTCTTATGAGGTGAGAATGTAGAGGGAAGGCTGTGAAAGGACCACATCTGGTGGCAGCGCAGAGTTGTGCTTGTCTATTACCTGCTTGCCTATAACAGGGCTCTAAAATGCCTAGAGTATATAGCAAGTCTCAACAAATTGTCTTTGGCTCTAAGATCCCCTCCCAAAATTTAGGAGCCTTGTTTGTTTTTCAGTCCTTTGGGGTTTTGTTATTTTAATAACCGTATTCTATAGTTATTGTTACCACAAAACTAATCTTAAACTTTTAATCCAATTGCTTTCGTTTGTGTTTTGAATAAAAAAAATATCGTTCATTGGGTTTGCCTGTGTCCTTTATAAATTTTGTATCTCCAGTACCTGGCATTGCATTTTATGACATGCATGGTCTGGCCTGAGAAAGTAGCGTTTATGTCAGATCCAGCCCTCGTTAACAGATGAGTCTGACACCTCTGCAAGGTTTTCCAGGCAAGAGAGGAGCAGAGGTGGTTCTGATGGCACTAGTATTTCTGGCCACTGTGTGACACAGAGTGTTGGACTGGATGGGCCTTTGGCCTGATCCAACATTGGCATCTCTTATGTTCTTATGACAAGGTCAGGCTAGCTCGGGCCATCCGGATTAGGGCAAACTGTCACGAGAACCAAATAATCCAACATGCTTTTTTATGATTCTCAGCCTTGAAAACATCCTTCCTGCTGGGGTTTCCAGGGTGAAAACATTTTCTCCTCTCTTTCAGCCTCTTTGCGTTTAGCTCAGTTTTGGATACTGTTTTGCTTAGACCAAAAGAGAAAAATGACGTAGAATATTACAGTGAAACTCAAGAGCTTCTGCGGACAGAGATCGTGAATCCTCTCAGAATGTAAGTAAAGGCAAATGAACCATACTCGTAATTTTTGCCAGGAAGCTCTTGTCCTTGCTCACTGCTACCAGCTGTCTCAATATAATGTGCGTGTGTGTGTGTGTGTGTGGGGGGGGGTGTGTGTGTGTGTGTGTGTGTGGGTTGTAGGAAGATCAGAATGTGCTCTCAGTTCACACAATTTAGGTTTGACTGTCCCTAAAACGGTGGTCATCGGCCTTTCCAGAGCTGGGTCCCAGTAACTCAAGTATGTGACAGGAAGTCACTCACACTAAAACTATGTGTGAAGGTAAAGTTTCCCTTGCTCAAAAGCCAGTTGAATCCGACTCTAGGGTTGCGGTGCTCATCTCCGTTTCAAAGCCGAAGAGCCAGCACTGTCCGAAGATGTTTCCGTGGTCATGTGGCCGGCATGACTAAACACCAAGGCGCACGGAACGCTGTTCCCTTCCCACCAAAGCGGTCCCTATTTATCTACTTGCAATTTCTTGATTTCGAACTGCTAGGTTGGCAGAAGCTGGAACTAGAGACGGGAGCTCACTCCGTCATGCGGCACACTCGGGTCTCGAACTGCTGAGCTACCGCCCTTCCACAGCCTGCAGTTCAGCGTCTTAACCACTTGAGCCACCGCAGCTCCTAAAACTATGTGACAGGAACCCAAAATTATGACCTTTTTGGTGCACCCAGCCTATGACCCATGGGTGGCAGACCAAGAGAAACATGGAAGGGGGGAAGTATACCAGGAGGTGTGCTACACAGTGAGGAGCAAGCTAAGAGTCAGAACCTTGGCGGAACCTCCGAGCCGGGGAAATGTAAGCCACCCAGCACTCTGCTCACGGGAAAGGGCGGCTGGTAAATTGAATATAATAAGTAATAAGTTCTCTAGGAGGCTCAGAGATTATATTTAGCTCCCACTCTGGTGATGGTTCTGCCTTCATGAGCAGCCTTCCTTTGTGGTTCAGTCCGTCTCTCTCAAACCGTTATCTTTATGTTGTAGATACGGATACGTGTGTGCGACAAAAATAATGAAGTTGAGGAAAATCTTAGAAAAAGTCGAAGCAGCTTCTGGATTCACTTCTGAAGAGAAAGGTAACGAGACGTTTTTGAGCATCGCTCTGTGGCTTCCGTTACACATTGGAAGGAGGTTGACCAGAGGCCTGGCATTTCAAGACCTCAAGAAAGGAATTGAACCTGGGCACATCTGAGGGGATTAAAACCTAGTTCTTTATTGGAAACAGCAGAAATGGACACACTAACTTTGATTTTGAAAGGAAAACCAGAAACGACATTCGAAGATACATGGTCATGATTTTATAACTGGTTTGAAGATTACATTAAGTAAACAATACAGACATCCGAACTTGCTTAGGGCAGATACAGTAAAAACTTGATACATTTGCAGACGATATATTTAATGATATGAGGTGAAATACATAAATTGATGATAATTTAGGCATGACTTTGTTAAAGATACGAGTAGAAGAGACATTTCCCCCCCCTCATTTATGTTTATGTCTTTAAAAATTATATATATATGCACACACACACACACTCTCTCGAAAGCTTACACCTTGAAACCCTTGTTGGTCTCTGAGGTGCTACTGGATTCAAACCTAACTGTTCTACTGTAGACCAGCATGAAACAGATTTTATGGAAAAGACTAGGCTAAAACTGCCACTCCCCCAAAAAGGACCCACCCCAACCCTCCTCACATCTAGCTCTTTTTTTTTCCTGCGCAACCTTCTTCACGGAGAAGAATGATTTAGCTTGCCCTCAGTTTTTTTGAGAGGTGTATCTTTGGAAAAATATTTTACAGAACTTCTGCAGTATTCTAATAAAATTCCAGTTCTCTTTGGACATAAGAACTTAAGAACATAAGAGATGCCAATGTTGGATCAGGCCAAAGGCCCGTCCAGTCCAACACTCTGTATCACACAGTGGCCAGAAATACCAGGTGTCATCAGGAGGTCCACCAGTGGGGCCAGGACATTAGAAGCCCTCCCACTGTTGACCCCCCCAAGCACCAAGATGACAGAGCATCACTTGCCCCAGAGTCCCTATCTATACCTTGTGGCTAATAGCCACTGATGGACCTCTGCTCCATATGCTTATCTAATTCCCTTTTGAAGCCGTCTATGCTTGTAGCCGCCACCACTTCCTGTGGCAGTGAATTCCAAGTGTTAATCACTCTTTGGGTGAAGAAGTACTTCCTTTTATCCATTCTAACCCGACCACTCAGCAATTTCATGGAGTGCCCACGAGTTCTTGTATTGTGAGAAAGGGAGAAAAGTACCTCTTTCTCTACCTGCTCTTTCCCATGCATAATCTTATAAACCTCAATCATGTCACCCCTCAAGTTTCAAGCTGGGCGAATTTTACACCAGGCTACCAAAAAGCCATCAATAGTATTTGGCCCATTGTGAATTCGATTCGGATGAATATTTAAGTAGACTACCCCAATACAGTTCTTTGAGGCCAGCTGTTCAGACTCTTTAAAAACATGTGTGAGAGACATGATCTTAAGAACTGTTTGCAGAGTACCTTTGGTTGATATCCTAATGTGACTTCTATTCCCCCCCCCAGATCCTGAAGAATTTTTGAATATCTTGTTTCATCATATTTTGAGAGTCGAGCCATTGTTAAAGATAAGGTAACATACTTCTCTGCTATGTAATTTTACAGCAAAATAAGCTACTCGCTAGTCTGCATTTTAAGGCTAGGAAGTGTTCTGCCTTTCAGAGAATATTTGACTCATTTCAAGGTTTTTGCTTTTAGACTGTCGGAAGCATAACGTTTTACTTTATTCTTAGTGATGTTTCTGTAGTAGCGAAAGTAAAAAAAAGGCTTTTCACAGGATTCAAAACAGGGTTGGGTAAACTACAGAGATGATCTGTGACTTGTGAGACTTCAGTGGCGAATCCTTAAGCCTTCACCTCAGGGCCGCAGGGGCTTTGCTTTAATCCCTTTCTCTGCTCTGTTTTCCTGTTCACAGTCCCCCTTTGCTTCCCTCTCCACCCCCCATGGCTATTTGCTTTGCAGGATAGGCATGCAGGTACCATCAGAATAGATGTGCATTTCTGCCTATGGGGCAAAGAGAAGTTCCATTTGACATAGGGTTGCCAGCCTCCAGGTGGTGGTTGGAGATCTCCAGAGAAGAGTTTACCTGGAGAAAATGGCTGCTTTGGAAGGTGGACTCCCCCTCCCCAAACCCCGCCCTCCTGAGGCTCCACCCCCCAAATCTCCAGGTATTTCCCAACCTGAAGCTGGCAACCCTAATTTGACAGGGAAGGAGATTTAAATGGGAGGGGGTGGAATGGCACAAAGGAAGGGGGTTCCACTTTCTCCCAGTGCCACAGCTCCAATTTGGGTCTGATCCCCCCCCCCATGTAGCTGCTTTTAGGATTGGAATAAATAATGTTTTTATGTTGTCATGGATCTCCTGCATCACATGTCTTTTAAGTGCCAACTCTAAATGCTTTTCACTGGAATGTTTTTAAAACATTCTGTTTTTCTTAGATCAGCAGGTCAAAAGGTACAAGACTGTTACTTCTATCAGATTTTTATGGATAAGAATGAGAAGGTTGGCGTTCCTACCATTCAGCAGTTACTGGAATGGTCCTTCATCAACAGCAATTTGAAATTTGCAGAGGTTTGGAAAGTAGTACTTGTTTCACTTTCTGTTAGTTGGATTTATGTTTCCCTGATAGATGCTTATTCCAAGGAAAGCAGTTTGAAGCACTGGAGTGTCTTAGTAGGTGCATGTTAAAGTAGGGGAAGGGGATCTTTCATATTCTTTGAGTCTGAAGATTACTTTTTGATACCTACTACACTACGGTGACTTCACCGTAGAGCGGTAAAGACTGAGCTGTTCCGGCAAGCGTTTTAATAGCTCAGACCACACTGACTGTTCTAGCACTTTATAACAGATGGCCGCCACATCTTAATTGTAATTTTAATCCTAATAAGCTATATTTGGTTATTTTATTGATCGTACTGTTTTAGACATGATATTGTATTCATTGTTATACTGGTTTTTAAACTACTGTAAGCCGCCCTGAACCCCCTTGGTGGGAGGGCGGGGCAAAAGTCTAATTAATTGGGTATCAGTGTTTCATATCATCCCTTGGCGGGAGGGCGGGGCAAAAGTCTAATTAATTAATTAATTGGGTATCAGTGTTTCATAGGGTGGATACCTGTTTATGGGACAGTACAGGGGTCAAGATCTTTTATGATGCTGTAGTTCAGTTTTTGATGCTTTTTAAAAGCTGTACACCTGAGTACAGTGTGGAGTAGTGGTTAGTAGGGATGGGCACAAACTAGGAAAATGGTGGTTTGTGGTGATTTTTTTGATTACACGAACCACAAACTTTCACGAACTTTTCCTGTTTCCTGAACCGGTTCGTGGTTCATGAGTTCGGGAGGTGGCAGAACAGCCCCCTTGCAAGTTACAGACATCAAACTCACAGGGAGTCTTCAGCAGGCTCTCCTCCACCTGCCCTCCAAGTTTGGTGAAAATTGGATTTGGGCTATTTGAGTTATAGCCCCCCAAAGCTTCTGCCCCAGGAAAGTTCTGCTCTGGCCTCCCCTTAAATCAGCTCTGCTCTGCCCTCCCCTTAAATCAGCAAGCAGTTTTTCCTAAACTCACTCTCACATGATGAGTAACTCCTCTCTCTTCCTGCTGCAAAGAGAAAGCAGCTGAGTCAGGGTGTGGTGTGGGTGTGGGTGTTTGGGCTCTGCAGCCCGAGCATGTGTTCTGACCCGAGTCTCTCTGGTCTAAATCCAGCACTCTCACTGTGCTTCATTGGTAGAAAAGAGCAAGAGTCCAGTAGCACCTTCAGATATCTGAAGGTGCTACTGGACTCTTGCTCTTTTCTGCTGGAGACAGACCGACTAACATGGCTACCCACCTTGTACTGCATTGGTGCCTTCTGTCCATCTTGCCTGTGCGTATGAAATAACCTGCTGTGTTCCTGTGGTTCCGATCCGGCAAGGCTCCTGTTTTGTGTCTGAAGTGCCTTTTGAAAAAGGCCTCCCGTGGCTTAACACCATAGGCTGGAGCCAGCTGCAGGTGAAGCTGCTAATGGATCCGTAACTTAATTAAGACATTTTCCCCTCTCTGCCTCGTTCTTAGGCCCCCTCGTGTCTGATCATTCAGATGCCTCGGTTCGGAAAAGACTTCAAAATGTTCAACAAAATTTTCCCTTCTCTGGAGCTGAATATCACAGACCTGTTGGAAGACAGTGAGTATAAAGATAACTTGGCAGATCTAATGATCCCCGGAAACGGCATTCCGTCTGACATCTTGCAGTGATGCTGGTGGGGTGTTGTCCACATGAAAGGGTCGCGTGCAGAATATGGAAGAGAGGAGTTGAAGCGAGCTACTATGCCTCATTAGGCGTATGCAAATATAAAAATGGGCTGATGCATTCCTTACAGGTAGCTGAAGAATGGCATGGATGGTTTAGGGACAGGCTTCATGGGTGGTGAATCTTGATAAGCGTTCCCCGTATCGTCCTCCCATTAGCTTGCATCCGAACAGGATGGAATTGTATGTGTGCGTGTTGCTCTAGTTATAGTAATTAATAATCACATCAGTGTCTAGCACTGAACTTACAGCGGTAAACGCAGAATGCCCAGGAGGTCTCCTGTGCTGGTGCCAGTCCCGTAGCCAGGATTTTGTGGCTTGTGGGGCACATTTTTTTTCTGGTGGGGCTGAAGTTGTTAGTGCAGAAAGAAAAGCCACTTAGCCATTAGAAAGCTGTTACCAGTATAGCTCCGTCTGACATCTTGCAGTGATGCTGGTGAAATGAAAGGGTCGCGTGCAGAATATGAAAGAGAGGAGTTGAAGTGAACTACTATGCCTCATTAGGCGTATGCAAATATAAAAATGGGCTGATGCATTCCTTACAGGTAGCTGAAGAATGGCATGGATGGTTTAGGGACAGGCTTCATGGGTGGTGAATCTTGATAAGCGTTCCCCGTATCGTCCTCCCATTAGCTTGCATCCGAACAGGATGGAATTGTATGTGTGCGTGTTGCTCTAGTTATAGTAATTAATAATCACATCAGTGTCTAGCACTGAACTTACAGCGGTAAACGCAGAATGCCCAGGAGGTCTCCTGTGCTGGTGCCAGTCCCGTAGCCAGGATTTTGTGGCTTGTGGGGCACATTTTTTTTCTGGTGGGGCTGAAGTTGTTAGTGCAGAAAGAAAAGCCACTTAGCCATTAGAAAGCTGTTACCAGTATAGCTCTTTAAACTGCAAGCTGTCAACCACTTTAGATGACAGTTCTCAGCTGCTGCAAGTTAATCACTTCTGCCAGCCTAAGGGTCAATTCTGATAGCAAGTTGGCAGGTGGGGGTGATGACTTCTATCGCCAAAGAAAGCTAATACTTAGGCAGGAAAACTCTCTTAAAGGAGACCAGTTTCTTGACAGAGAGTTAGAAGGGATCCTAGAGGTCACCTACTCCAACCCCCTTACTCAGTGCGGGAATTAGTCAACTACAGCACCCCACTCTGCTTAAAAGAGTGAACACCTTTTAAAAATGTTAGAAATTATTGAAAAAAGCATTCACAGGAGAAATTCTTGTGGGGCTGTGCCTTTAAGAAAGGGGGCGGAGCCCCCAAAAGCCCCGCTGTAGCTATGGGCCTGGTTGGCTCTGATCACCTGTACCTTCTTAGTGGCAGAAAAGTTGGTGCCATGTGCCTTCAGGCTGTAACCTGAGCTTGTGTCTATTCTCCCACCCCACCCTGTGTTCAAGGAGGTCGGAACATGCATGAGGTTTCTTGGGAAGTTTCCCATCAGATCTAAAGATAGAATTCTTCTAGTGGCTTAAGACCAGTCTTCATTCTTCTCACTGTCAATTTGTTAATAAACACAAGGCAAATTGTATTAAGCTCTCCACTTCCACCTGGGCAAAATGGTAACTGCTTGTTCATTCTTTTCACTCTCCTGTCTTCTCAATTTTGGCTAGTATGTGGGGTGGGGCTGTGACTCAGCAGTAGAGCATCTGCTTGGCATCCTGAAGGTCCCAGGTTCAATCCCTGGCATCTCTGCTTAAAAGGATCAAACAGGAGGCGATGCGAAAGACCTCTGCCTGAGACCCTGGAGAGCAGCTGCCAGTCTGAGTAGTAGAGCTGGCGGGGGGGTGTTGCCCACTCTAGAGGCCCCGGATCCGGCCACCGGGGGGAACCCCATGCCCAAAGTACTGGAATCGGGCTGACGTGTCCAGCGTGATGACATCACCCTGAGGCGTGGCGACTCTACTGAGTAGGCAGTACTGACCTTGATGGACCAGGGGTCTGATTCGGTATAAGGCAGCTTCACGTGTTCCTTTCTGGAAAGATATTTGCAGAAAAGAAGAACTGTTTTGAACTACTGAAAGTTCATTTGTTTGATATCCGTGGTGCTTTGTGAATAGTGTTAAGGTTCTCCCCCCCTTTCTATGCAAAAAGCATAAAAGATTTGCTACCTGAAGCAATCCTTATTGATGTTTGGCATATATATATGCCTGTCGGCTAGGTTAGTCAAAAAGACCGCTTTACCGAGTGATGATTGTCGCTCTTTTCTTACAAAACGCAGCTCCCAGGCAGTGCCGTATATGCGGAGGGCTGGCAATGTATGAATGCAGAGAATGCTACGATGATACAGACATCTCCGCTGGCAAAATCAAGCAGTTTTGCAAAACTTGCAATACACAAGTAAGCTTGCTCTTTCAGAGCAGTCCTGGTGATGGGGTGGGTTTGAACTTGGCAGGAACCTTTCCAGGGGTGGTGACCAGTGTTCCCTCTAAGCTGTGGACTCTTGTGAGCAGAAATTCTACTTTGTGAGCTCCTGGCATTAAGGTTGTGAGCAAGCGATTTGGCGATTGCATAAATTAGTGTGGTCTGGAGCCACCCTTCCTGAGCTAAGACAAAAATGTGTGAGCCGGAGGCTAAAAAACTATGAGCTAGCTCACACTGACTCAGCTTAGAGGGAACACTGGTGGTGACCATCCTTGTGGCACTGGGGGCGGGGATGGATGGGACTTTTAAATGTCTTCAGGAGACATGACTAAACGTCTCTTGCCAAAGGGATGGAATCTTTAAGCATGTTTTTTTTTAAACTCTCCCGATCGTAGGTTCACCTTCATCCCAAAAGGCAGAGTCATAAATTCAACCCGGTGTCTCTTCCGAAAGACCTTCCCGACTGGGACTGGAGACACGGCTGCATACCTTGCCAGAAGATGGAGTTGTTTGCCGTTCTGTGTATAGAGACGAGCCACTATGTGGCTTTCGTTAAGTACGGCAAGGGCGACTCGGCCTGGCTCTTCTTTGACAGCATGGCGGATCGGGATGGTGCGTCTTTCTCGTTGGGACCCCCCCCCCTTTCTCTGTTTCTCATTTTCATGTTGGCTTGAGAGAGAGCTCATGGGTGTGCCCCTGAAAAGGTTTTATCTTAATTGTTTTGTAGGTTGCGTGTTTAATCTAGGGGTCCCCATTGTGGTGTCCTGGCACCCGCCCAGTGGAGAGCCAGTGGTTAGTGTCAGACTAGGATCTGGAGAGGTCTGGGTTTGAATCCTCATGGAATCTGCCAGGTGACCTTGGGCCAGTCTCGTATTTTCAGCATAGCTCACCTCACAGGGTGGTCGTGAGGATAATATGGTGGAGGGGAGGATTTCGTGAGCCACCTTGAGTCCCCATTGGGGAGAAAGGTTGGGTGTAAGTGAAGCCAGTTTGGTGTAGTGGTTAAGTGTGCAGACCAGGGGTCATTTCCTGCAGGAGCGCACAGGAGCAGAGCTCCGGCACTAAAGAGCCCAGGGGGCGGGGACATGCAACAAGCCCCACCCCATGCTCCCAGCAGCCCTCAGTCAGAGCAAGAAGCAGAGCGGTGGGTGTTACCTTCTGACACACCTCAGGTGATGTCAGGGGGTGTGGCATATGCAAATAAGTTATGCTAATGAGTTACGCTAATGAGCTCCTGCACCTCTTTTTCTACGAAATGACCCCTGGTGCAGACTATAATCTGGGAGAATTGGGTTTGATTCCCCACGCCTCCACTTGCAGCTGCTGGATGGCCTTGCGCAAGCCATAGTTCTGTCAGAGCTGTTTTTGAAAGAGAGCAGTTTCTGTCAGAGCTCTCTCAGCTCCACCTACCTCACAGGGTGTCTGTTGTGGGGAGGGGAAGGGAAAGGAGTTTGTAGGCCGCTCTGAGTCTCCAAGTGAAGGGCGGGGTATAAATCCACTTCTTCTAAATAAATGAAGAAAATTAGTCCGGGGGTCCCCAACTTACGATGCCCATGGATGCCATGATGCGCAGTGCACCTTTCCTGGCACCCGTCTTGTATTTTTAGAAAATGAGCAAGGCCGGGTGGGGCTTTTCGCCAGTAAGGCGTCTGATTGGCTACTGAGCATTTGATTGGCTTGTGCAGATTTTTAAAAGTGTTCGGCAGCAGCTGTCACCACAACTCAAAAACCGGCAGTGCGACCGAAGGTAAGCCTGTGGCAGCCATTGTGTGGCTGACTCGGTCTCCTGTGACCAACGTTGTGTGGCGTTGCCCACTGTGCTGGGTAGGATTCCTAAAGTCGCCTGCAGGCTCAAAAAGGTTGGGGACCTCTGCTTGAATCCAGTCATTACTGAGGCGCCAGAAGCTTTGATAGGTAGGGTATGTGTGGAAGGAACGTTTGTGCATCACAGAGGTCTTTGTGGATGCAACGATGTCTCTTTCCCCTGGGAGGATCCCTCTCAATAAGAGCTGAGAATGCAGGTTTTCTCCTCACTACACGGTTGCCCGCAGGTGTGGGGCTTTGTATAAATGGCCAGTATTCAACTTGTGTAGTAAGTTGAATGGTGGCCATTCATATCTCTCAGTGACATCAGTGTGTGTGGGGTGGGTTGGCTCAACCCAAGCCATTAAGAATCGAGACTGCTGCTATTTTGAAAAAAGCAAGTGCATATATACTAAATAATTATATTTTTATATTTTTATGTGTGTATATCTATACACACACATATGTGTGTGTGTGTGTGTGTGTGTGTGTGTATATATATATATATATTTATTTAGTGCCGGGGTGACTCAGAGTTTGAGACGCTGAAGCTGCAGACCGGAAGGTCTGTAGCTCGGCAGTTCGAGACCCGCGTGTTGCATGACGGAGTGAGCTCCCATCTCTGGCCCCAGCTCCTGCCACCCTAGCAGTTCAAAAGCAAGAAATTGCAAGTAGATAAATAGTTATGGCTTCAGTGGGAAGGTAACAGCGTTCCGTGCGCCTCAGTGACTAGTCATGCCGGCCACATGACCACGGAAAAGTCTTCGGACAGCGCTGGCTCTTCGGCATGGAAACAGAGATGAGCACCTCCCCCTAGAGTTGGAGTTGACTAGCTTTCGTGTATGAGTCATCATTTGCTTCTTTCTTGTGTATGAGTCATCATTTGCTTCTTTAATGCAAGTCTACTCTTTAATACTTCTATTATACTGTTCCTCTATTATAAATTTCATTTTCAGCATGAAACAGTATAGAGACCCAATAACTTTTCCAGCCCTTGATTTCTTCTCCATTTTAGCAGTTTTACTGCATCCCATTATCTTTTTAACCACTCTTATCCTATTTTGCTTTGATTCCTAGTAACCAGCTAATGTCACCCTTGCCGTCGTTAACAGATTTAAAATGACTTCTCGCGCTATTGGGTAACCCCCCTCCATAAACCAAAACAGAAGGGTCTCAGTTGAGCCTGCTCCTATCTCCGCAGCCCCATCTTGCTTTGCAATCGTTTCATGGTTTTTTATAGAGTGGAACACGGTCAGATCTGTACTGTTAACTTTGCTGATGTACTCATGACAATCTCAGGGCAACATAGTTTGATTAGATTCATTATCTGCACTTTCTTTCTCTTCTTCTTAATTTTGATATTTTCTCCTCTCCCCCCCCCCCACTCCAGGAGGCCAAAATGGCTTCAACATTCCTCAAGTGACTCCGTGCCCAGAAGTTGGGGAGTATTTGAAAATGTCCCTAGAGGAACTGCATTCCCTGGACTCCCGGAGGATCCAAGGCTGTGCGCGAAGGCTCCTCTGTGACGCTTACATGTGCATGTACCAGAGCCCAACCATGAGCTTGTACAAGTAAAAACTTGTCGCCTGGCAAAGGAGGATTGGGGTGGGGGCGCTTCTCAGTGACCCCCGGCCCCAACACAAGAAGGCTCCGCGGCGCCATCGGCTCAATCGCTCGCGCATCTGTTGCGGACAACGGACTCTTCACGGGGGTGGAAGCAAAAACGTCTAAAACGAAAGAAGTGAATATTACAAAGACAGATGAGGAATAAAAATACCCTACCAGTGACATTCTCTTACTGAAGTACTTAAGCATTTTGCACTCTAGAAAGTATCTGTGTGTGCGTGTTTGTGTGTGTGGTATTTTTAATAAAACATCTAAATGAAGCTATGAAGACTTTCAGGCTACAATTTGGAGGCACCGCAGTGTACGTGGAGCAACGTGTGTACGTGTCTAAATTGCCATGTGGAGCGTTCTGTATAGGCAACTAGGAGAACCACAAAAACCCACCGGGGTGCAATGCATGTTTCTGAAAACACTGTGCAGGTTGTACAGTTAAGGAACTTCACCTTTCTGGGTCACTGGGTAGTGGCCTAAATCTCAACACGGACATTTTTGTTGACATTTTTTTAAAAAAACAAAAACAAACCACAGCACAAAGTTAGATCATAAAATGAATAGCCTTTTGTAGTGCTTTGCGTGACAGTATGTTAACATCGGTTGTGGGGATTGCTCCGCCGTGTTCCTGTGGACCAAGAATGCTCCGTGTTTTTTGTGTGGCTAATGACCACCTTCAGGCGACTGTCGAGAGTTAAGCTGATGCAAATGTTTTTGCAGCCGTGGGGTGCGTTTCCCAGTGGTTTCCCGGGAAGCCAGCACATGGAGGGGTTTCATCGCAGTGGTCATCTGCGCAGCCTGCTCAAAAAAACCCTGACATCCGGTTCACAGAACATTCATAGAATCATCTTATGAGCAGGTTGTATGGATGACTCATTCCAGGGAAACATGTTTGCAATGCGTGCACCCACACAAAAAATCATCCCAAAAGGCGTTTCGCAGTTGCAAAACGTTGCATCAGTACTCTCTCAAAGCTTGGTTTAATCTGTTGTGTGTCTCTTCCCCCACATTGAAAACTCCTTAACAGATACCCTGCATGCCCGCTGTTAAAGATTTCTGTTCTTTTTTCAGAAGCTGTGCAATCTGTTGGGTGTTCCAACGCCATAGTTTTGCTTGCAAGAATTAATACGCCAGTTTTCAGTTGCGCTCGGAGACGGAGGCAACAAGGCTAATTCAGATGGGTTCAAGAAGATCAGTAGGGGTGTTTGTGGATGACTCCGTTTTTTTAGTGTCCTTTTTCTATATTTTGTCAAATAACCGTGTGTGTATGTGGACTAATTCAGATGGGTTCAAGAAGATCAGTTAGGGATGTTTGTGGATGACTCCGTTTTTTAGTGATATTTTGTCAAATAACTGTGTGGGAGTGTGTGTGTGAAACAGAGTGAATGTGTGAATGCACGCAGAGAGGAAAAGCCTGGGGCGTAGAAGGAAGTCAGCCCCACAGAAAGCATGAATGGCGGCCCCTCATCAAAGGAAGCAATCTTTCCACCTCCACGGCTCGGTCGCTACACACTAGGGAACGCTACTGCCATTTTTGTCTACCGCTTGGGAAACCAGTGACCAAGGTAGGACATGTACCAAGGTCTTCATTGTCTGCTTTGCTTATTCTACTCACCTGTGTATGGCGTTCAGGTGCTGTGTGCCTCTGGAATGGATTTTGGAAGCGTTGAACGAAGTTGAGAGGGTAGCACTCGAAATACCTCAGATTGTTGGGGCGAATGGTCCCCTAACAGTCCATGACCCTGTGTGTGCCATACACAGGTTTCTGGGACACAAGAAGGCAACCTGAACAATGTAAACAGTGTATTAGCTTTTTGCCTCAGGGAATGTGATTGAAGGAAATCGCTAGTCTGTTCAATAGAAGCTGTTACTTGTGACCCCCCCACCCCAGCCTGGGTATATGGTATGGTTTTGATTAATTTGGAGTTTTTTAAGGATTGCTAATGTGCGTGTGTGTGTTTTTTAATCTAGCAGGATTAAATCGGATCAGTATGTAGTTAAATCGTTTAACCTACCTTTCCGTGCATATTGGGGAAAAAACAACTTAAAAGTTTCAGTTTCCCTGTAAAGTATTGAGTGTATTTTTTTAAAAAACGAACTGTAAGTCGAATAGCTCTTTGCAGTGGGAGTAATCCTGTTGTAGTTGCCTTAAGCGTCTTTTAAAAATAACTTTGTTGGGAGAGAAGCTAAATTGTACATCCAGTTGTGAACAAAATGTGGCTGTTGAAGGGGAAAATTGATTACATGCTATGTTGCAATAGCGCATCAATAGTTTTCAGCTTGTGTCTGTGTGTTTGGGGTGGGGGTAAGAGGCTGCTTCTCATGAATAGTTGTGTCTTGATCATCTTGCTGTGCAGGTGGTGACAGAGAGAGTAGCGCTTGTACCCCTAGGGCTGGTTTCTACGAGCCGCAACTGAACTGTGTGATTGTTAACTGTGCACTCAGTATCCCGGTGTGGATCTACTCCTGCCAGGTTGAATCCAATGACTTTCTACTGCTGCAAAGGAGGATTCGTTAGCTCAGCGGAGGGCAGTCACTGGAACCGGCCTGATGTTTTTATTGGGCTTATGGGCATCTAGTTGCAGTTTGTTTGGGCCAGGATTGCATAGTTGTTGTTAACTTGTCTAAAATTTGCATCGGCATCATTACGGTGTCATGCATTTTACGCTGTAAATGGTAGAGGCCTGTAGCCTTAGAGACCTTGCAGTTTAAAGTTTGAGACTTGAAAGGCAGAACAAGGAAGGGGAGGAAGACGGAAACAGGGATAAACGGGGGGAGAACATGCCATGCACGGACTGCAGTGATGCATCCTGGGCTTGGTTTTAGTAGGGAGGAGAACCAAGGAAATGTGCCCAAAGTAGTGTGGGAAATCCAGTTGCCTTGCTCTTCTCCACCGCGTCAGGGGATCCAAACTAGTCTTTATTTTGTTGCAGAACAACCGAGGTGGCCAAAGCCCTGAAGACTCAGTGCTGAAAAGTGACAGATGCTCATTCTTGAGCCCACTGCAGCACCCCTAATCCAGGCCCGTAGCTACAGCGGGGCATTTAGGGGCGGTGCCCCCTCACTCATGGCCCACACCTCACAGTTCCTGCTGCCCCTTCCCTTACCTGCCGGCTGCACTCGTTCACCTTGGCTGCTGCAGGAGAAGAGCCGGCCAGCTGATGCAAATAATACTCAGCAAGTACACGCTCTCTGTTATGGTAGCAGGCTGGCAAGACCTGCCGCTACTGTAACACAAAACGCATATTCCCCGAATATTAATTGTGCTTGCTTGCCGGCTCTCACTCTCCTGTAGTGGCCGAGGCCAACGAGTGTGGCCGACAAGTAAGGAAAGACCCTTCTCTTCTTCACCTACCTGCCCGACGATGGGATCTCTCTCTTACCCCCTGGCCCCCCGCCCCCACCCCGGATTTCCCAACCCACCACCACCCAAAACTTTCTGGTTACGCCCCTGCCCTTTTCTATTAGTATTCCACTTCTGAACCTCTCCCTGAGCCCCATAACCCTGTTATGGCCTCTCCCTCCCGAACAATTTTTAGTTGATTTTCAAACTGTGTCCGAACTACCTGTAAGCCAGAGTTTGGCCACACGACTTGATGTCGCATGCAGGGTAAGAGATGGGGGGTGGAGCGGGGCGGGGAATGCACCTAGTGAGTACCCAGTCCTACAATTCTACATATCCTATTTTATCCCCTTTCTTTGTGAACACACGTCGGTCTCAGTCCCCAGCCGGCCCTCAGTGTGGTATGAGTGAAGAGTGGGCTGCCGCCTCGGGGGCTCTTACGGCATAGTTTGATGTAGCTCTTCCAGAAGCATAAGGGAAGGAATGAGCGGATTTTGGTCGGCAGGATGAGGCGTGGATTGAGTGAACAGCAACAAGCTCTTGGGGGATTGGTTGCATTAAGGGTGTGTGGCCTAATCTGCAAAGGAGTTCCTGCTACAAAAAGAGCCCTGGCAGGTGTTGATGACTCGGGGAGCAGAGCTCATTGAAAAGCAGCAGAGGGAGCTGTAGATTCCGCCGTGAGGACGGGAGGTGGGCCGAAAGGGTCTTGTTGCCATCTCGACAAGTCATAGGGAGGAGAACAAAATGGGTCAGGAACCCTGAGAGGTCAGATGTCAGTGCTGCCTGTAGAGAAGCTAGTTTTAAGCAGCTCCCTCTGTGTGGCTGGGGTCATGTTTAAAGAGCCCTCCCCCCATAGTTAACGTGCACCCAACCCCCCCCAAAATGGTGGCTGTTGACCTTTGACCTTTCTGCTGTCCGTGGTGGGCTGCGTCTTGAAATGGAAACTCTAACGCTATCCCTATTTGCTATTAACTTAAGGCCTAAAACTATTTTGCATTCTTATTTGAATACATTTCTAAATCAGTCAGAGGATGGTTCTGATGTGTCCTGTCCCCCCCGCCGCCCTTCTCCGAGCGTAGCCCGCGCGTAAGAAGGAGTGTTACCCAGGACTTCTTATTCTGGAACAGTGACATGACAGCAGTCCGTGTTTGTCCTTCCACTGTGTGAATGTTGGGATTACGTTTTTCTCCCCATGGCTTTGTGTGAACAAGTCCCCCCCCCCTTCATGTATACCTCTAGTGACATGGGAGCTACTTCCCTGTGGTGAGCTACGTATGCAGTTATGGAAAGATTGGTCACGAGCATTGCCTGGTGACTGGCAAATGAGCTGCTTATTTGTGTGTGTTCAACTACTCCCTGAAGCCACCAGTTTCACTGTGTACCTAGGGCTTATTTTGAAGACATTACAGTGTCTTTTGTTAAGCTTGGGCTTGCATAGTTTAGGAAGTCCTTGGCCTGTGTCTCCTGTTCATTGGCCCTGCAGGAGAACAGGTTGGCCATTGCATGAAATGGGATGCTGAATGGGATAAATGGCTGATCTGATCCAGCAGGGTTGCTCTTAATATTAGGCTTGTCTCCTAGCCCTGGGACAGCTGGGAGTAACTGCAACAGCCTAGTAAAGGGTCTCCGGGTTTGCCCAACCTGCTGTAAGTCGCAGCTTTCCCCCCGACAGTAGTGCAGTCTTTTAAAGTTCAGTCTCGTTGCTTCTCAAAAGGAGTTCACTTCTGTTTTGTAATTCACCGTAAGTATCAAACCCGTCGATGGTCGCTGAAGTATCTTCCTTTTTCGAATAGTATTAATGTTTTAAAAA